GAAACAGTGGCATGAGCTGACTTGCATCAGGTAATAAAAAGCTGCCGGTCTCCTGACGCTGCCAGTTTGACACAAGTCCTTGCCCAGCTCTTACAAGGTCCCAGTCACTCTGGGTCTTGCAGAAAGTTGGAAAAACATGCTTCCAACCTGGAAATGGAGGTGAATGGTGTTAAGAGGACTCCAACCTGCTGCATCTGTCTACATGCAACATGTAGAGCCACCTTCTGCGCACAGGCTGGCGCTGGGCTCCCCATGTGCATGTGGATGCAATGCTTTGCCTTCCCAAGAGGCTGTCAATCAGCTGTCTAATAAATCTCATGGAAAGCAGTTGAATAACAAGGCTCCCTGGAGCTACAGAAGGAAATGATTTAATTGCCTTTCTTAATAGAGAAAGGGGTTGCCCATGTGCCACAACTAGATGTTATGAATAGGCTGACTTGTGCTGGAAAAAGGCTCTTGAAATGCAAGCGAATTGCCAGAGGCTCTGAAGAGACTGCATGGAGCATCGTTGTGTTTTCACGTGTCAACAGTGGTATTAGTGTGTGAGCCAGGGAAATGGAAAAACCCCCATGCAAGTGAGTGGGTCTCTCCAGGACTCAGCTGAGTCATCAGTAGCAAGTCAGAGCAGTGTCAGGGGTAAGGATTTACTTTGACTTCAGGAAACCAGCCTGTTCCTTTCAGGCTGTGTGGGTGAAGCTTTGTTTAGCCTGGCAGATAAATTTGACCAAAAAATGCATTTTGATGGGGAAACAAAGATATTGAGAACTTGACAAATTTCATAATATGTAACAGCTTATTTTCTGCCTCCTGAAAATGTTTAACAATGTTTGTCTCAACACCAAAGACAAAAGGTGACATTAGTTAAAAGGAGGGTTTTGTTTTCTGGGAAACTGTCAGCTGCTTGCTTTGAACCAAAAAATTGAAGAAAAAGGTCACCTGAGCTTTGTTTCTCTGCCAAATCTCAGTTGGGCAAAGGCTCAACCCTCTGGGAGTAGTTGGTTAAATACAAAGTCCCTTTCTTGCTAGCTTTCAAGGCTTGGCCAGACAAAGCCACAGTCTTGCTTCTAGGTGTAACTAAACCTGTGCAGGGCATGATGTGATGAGATCTGATTCCACTGTGCATGTCCAGAAACCCCTACTTCTGCCCCATATTCCTCTGCCCTGCTGCTTATCCTTCAGAGTGTTGCAGGCTTCTGTTTTCCCTGAGTTCAAGGCTGCTGTCTGTAGCAAGCTGAATCTTGCTTGCAAGCACAGTTATATGCAAGTGCTCTACAGGGTTTCCTTATACTGGGAGTTAGTGTTAAAAGGTGTTTCTGGCTCTGTGTATTGAGAAACTGGAGCTGAGCAGCAGTGCCACAGGCCATCTCCCATGCTGAGGTTTATACATCAGCCTTCAGAGCTGGCTTCTGGCTCTGTTTTTGTTGAAGCTGGTGTGTTAGCCCTAGCTCTGGCTGTTGCTAGTGGAGTAACAAGCATTTCAGTACTGTGATGCTGGGAAGGAAAAGCACCACTGTGCAGCCACTAAATAAGAGTGAGTAAGGCTTTTAGCATGAGCAATCGTCCTTTGAAGCCTTTTCCCCTCTGCCAAGTCTTGAAGAATTGCGCATGTGAATTTTGCAACTAAAGTCAGCAAGAGAAAAAGGAAAGTGATGAAATATTTTCCTCATTTTAATGAAATGCCCCCTACAAGAGTGGGTGGCTTCTGAAGGTAGTCAGAGATTAATACAGACTTAAAAGCAAACAATCCTCCTTTGGGCTCCGCGCAAAGGAAGAAGAGCAGACAGTGTCTGATTCCCTGGGTGAGCAGGAAACTTTTCATGTTCTCATTTGCTGGCCTATAGCCTAGGCATCCCTCCTGTGTCCCATGGCTGGAGGTCCTTGTGCTCATGTGGCTGCCCCAGGCTTGCTGGGTTGCAGTTTCAATGACTTAGAGTGCTCTTCAGGGCAACTTGCTGGGTTTCCTGCAAGTTGGGCTGTGCCTGGGGAATGAGATCCTCCTCCAGAGGATGCTTTTCCCTTTTAGCAGATGTTGAGCCTCTAACAGCTGCATGTTTTAGCTTCCCAGCTCTGAGCTTCTCCCTAAATCTCTTTTTTTTAAACCAGAGCTTTTAAATGTTGCCCTGTCCCCTGTTCATGCAGGCTCTCAGCCAGCCAGCAGCACATGGCTGCGGCTGTACTTTGCCTCCTGCCACCTGCTTGGGGAAGCTGCTGCCTCCCCCAGTCCCTCTCTGAGTTTAGTTCATCAGAAAGGGCTGGAGGTCAAAGCCAGAGCTGTTTCCAACTTGTTTCCATGCTCAGTGTTAATGCATCTCCCAGTTGCAGTGATGGAAGTCCTGCATATGCAGTGACAGTCTCTGGCGCTTTGCACACAGGCGAGAGGCCAGCTGCCTAACAGCTGTAACATACCGCTGCTGCGGTGGAGGGGAATCACAGAATCACAGAATGGCCAAGGTTGGAAGGGACCTCTGGAGATCATCTAGTCCAACCCCCCTGCTCAGGCAGGGTCCTCTAGAGCATATTTCCCAGGATCATGTCCAGACGGGTTTTGAATCTCTCCAGCGAAGGAGACTCCACTACCTCTCTGGGCAACCTGTGCCAGTGCTCTGTCACCCTCTCAGGAAAGAAGTTTGTCCTCAGGTTCAGATGGAACTGCCTGTGGTTCAGTTTGTGCCTGTTGCCTCTTGTTGTCTTGCTGGGCACCACAGAGAAGAGCAGCCCCATCCTCTCAACACCCCCCCTTCAGATACTTGTAAACATTGAGATCTCCTCTCAGTCTTCTCTTCTCCAGGCTCAACAGGCCTAGCTCTCTCCTTCTTTCCTCAGAGGAGAGGTGCTTCAGTCCCCTCATCTTTAGCCCTCCACTGGACTCTCCAGTAGTGCCATGTCTCTTGTACTGGGGAGCCCAGAACTGGACACAGTACTCCAGATGAGGCCTCACCAGGGCTGAGGAGAGGGCGAGGATCACTTCCCTCAACCTGCTGGCAACACTCTGCCTCATGCAGCCCAGGAGACCATTGGCCTTCTTGGTGACAAGGGCATGTTGCTGGCTCATGCTTGACTTGTTGTCCACCAGGACTCCCAGGTCCTTCTCTGCAGAGAAGGCATTGCACAACCTTGGGCTGGGTCTTTCTGGCATGCCTGGCCAGCAGCAGCGAGTCCCTCGTCTGGATAAGACAGAGGTGGAAACAGGATGGGCTTTTGTCTCCAGCTTGCTGCATGCATCCTCCTTCCCAGGCTGTCTCTGCTGGGGTATGTGGGCTCTTGCTTTTCTACCTGCAAGTGGGTCTATCGCAACCCTGGCTGTAGCAGCTGCTCAAAAGGAAGGCTGGAGGACAGCTAGCAGCTGCAACTCTTTGCATAGCAAACAGAGCTGGTTTACTTGTACCAAACTGTTCTTCCCCCTCAGGGTCTCGTTCAGGCTGGGCAGGTGAGGTTTTCCCACGTGTTTCATCTTGACTGAAGCAGCTTCTGGATTGCTACTTCATCTGGCTGCATCCCAGCGGAGGGCTCCAACTGTTAATTACGATTACGAGGCGGTCCCTGCCAGTGCGTTGTGGCTTTACTAGCTTTGCTGCAGTGACAACTTGATCCAAATCAGGATGGATCATCTGAAACTTGAAATTCTCTGACCACTTTGTGGATTCAGTACATTGGGAATAAGTTGATGTGAAACCTTAGATCGAGCAAAGCACAGCTGTGCGGAGCCGGCCATGGGGCTTTACTGGGGCAAAACTCAGGTCGCTGCAGCTCTGCTATAACCAACTGCAAAACTGGTTTGACCTTCTTGATGCCTGCTCAGCAGAGGTCAGCAATCCAAACGCAAACGCTTTTGCCTCTTCCAAGAGGTGAAGGCTAAATGTCAGTGTGATGAATGAGCGACCTTTCACGGGGGTGGAGGGAAACTCCCGTGAGCGCTCCACCCCGCACAGACGTCACTTCCATTACGGGGCTGAGTAACGTTTTCCAAGAAGTCAGAGGCAGGTCGAAGCGGCGGCATCATCCCTGTGGGAATTGAGTCTGGCACCAACTTATGAACCTCAGTGACCAAATCTTTTAGCTTTTTTGATTGAGAGCTGGCAAAAATAGGTGTGATAAGCACCTGCCCTGGGCAGGTAGAAATGAGCTCTCCCAGTGGCTGGCAGCTTGACTGGTCATGGTCAGCACCTGCTTTTCCCATCCTGCCCCATGTGAAGTAGCTGGAGGCAAGGGCATCTTCGTGCATGGTCCTCGGTGGCAAAGCAGGCAGCACCCCAAGGGCCGGGAAGAGAGGATTGGGGAAGGCAGAGCATCTTAAAACTTTTTCCTGGCTCTAGCCCAGTGCTGCAATAGCCCGGTGCCAGTGTGCCGCTCCTCATCTGTGAGCAGAGTTGCTGAAGGAACAAAATGACATGAGAAGGGAGGAAAAACTCCAGGTATTCAGCTTTCAGCGTTGCAATGATCCCATTGACTTTGAGTGTATATGCTCAGCTGAACGAGGAGCGGCGTTATAGCAGCCATTCAGCTCTGCTTGATGCCATCCCACGCAAGGCGGCAGGTCTCACACTATTGAACGCTTGACAGGCTGAATTGTGAAATTTAAATTTATAGGAAAATATTACTTGAGGTTAAAGGAATGAGCTGTATGTCTCTCCCTGTCGTCTTTCCTTCCTGTGCCCTTGCTCTCGCAGAAGGTAGGCGCCGCGTTCACTGACGCGTTCTTCTAGCTCCCCTAGCAATGCGCCCACAGCAGGCACGCGGCGGGTGGCTGGACGTTGCGATATCACCTCCCTAACCTGCAGGCAGGAGGAGTTGTGGGAACCAGACAAGTGGTACCCAGGCAGTGGAGGGGGGGGAGACAGGTTATTTTGAGATTGCAGCAACCCTGCTCAGCACGTGTTGCTTGCATCTCACCAGGGCTGAAGCAAACTGTGCCCTGGGTGTGCAGTCAGATGGTCTCTGACTCACCGACCTCAAAATTTTTGAGCTGTTTCAGACGTTGTCACATATGTCTCTGTTTGCAGGTGGCTCCATGTCCCAACTCCAGAGCTCCTGGGAAACACACCAGCAGAACATGGCTTATCTTCAAGATACAGGTAAAAATAACCTTCTCTGCCCAAAGGATACTCTCCTTGGGATTGGGGGCTTTTCGCAAACAGCGTAGCAGTCTAGGACTCCTAGCACTGGCTGTGCTAAATGTCAAGGCAGACACGCTTATAAAACTAGGAACTGATAAGCGTCCAGCCCTGAACAGCTTCTTTGCATGTGTGTGAGTGGATTAAACTTTTTGGATGTCTTAAGCTCCATATGCAAGAAGTAATCTGAGCCTAAAGCTTGCTGGCCCTCAGGGAAACTCCAAGCTCCTGAGGATCTGGAGTTGCTTTGGAAGCTAGGTTACCGCAGGTACTCTGGGAAAATCTTCCTTGTCCTCTTTGCCTGCTATAGAGTGATTGGGCACCGCGTGCAAGCTCCAGGTGCTGTGCAAAGCGCCTCTCTGCCAGCAGGGGATTGAGAGGAGCCCAGATGTTATTGGGATTGGACAACAACAGTCTGGCAGATTTGTACTGAGACCTAAATTTTAAGAGTTGGTCTGCTTTTCTCTGAACTCATTGTATTTGTTTTTCTTTGACCTAATGGTTGCTTGTCTAGAGTAAGTGAGCAGCTAATAGTGTTTTATACAGGACAATTCCAGTATATTAGCTAATAGCCTTTCAAAAGCAGGCTAGACTGAGACAGACGGCAGCGATCTGCAGTGCCTCTTGAGGAAATGCTTAACCATCGTATTTAAAAAAAAAAAAAAATTGCTTGCTTGAAAGTATCAACTCAAATCTTTCATCCTGAGATGCACAAAGAAACTGTCCTGTGTACAGGGAAACTACAGCACACTAAGAACTCACTGGGTAAATCGACCTAGAAACAATCATCCCTATCTAACTACTGGGGCACTATCTGAAAACAGTCTGTGTGGTCTTTACCAAGACTTGGTACCATGAAAGCCTCTAACTTTTGTTTTCTTGGTGGCTTCAGAGACTCAGTCTTTCTAATAGCAGATAGATTTCTGTCAGTGGATATTGTAAGCCAGGAAGAGTCTATTAAAGGCTTCACTTCAATATATTGCTTCTCAGCTACGTTGCACATAATCCTCAGTGGAAGCCCTATTTCCGTCCTCGCTTGTTTATGTCCCTGCTAAACAATACTCGATTGATTTGCATTTGGGATTTTTCTCACTTACAGGAGCTGACATGAGTGTGTTAGTGTCACTTCCTGTTGGTGCA